TGGTAGCTCTTGACAACCAAACACATACAAACCAATCATCCGTGCACTCCACTGAGGTTTGATTGTGAAAAAAATGTGCGATTGGTTTTGCACCTCTAAAAATGCTTTTAAAGGTACCCTACATGTATTTTCATCAATACTGATTGAAAGATTTAGGGAAATGTAATTATTATGATCGAAAGTGGTGTTCATATACTAAGTAAAAAGCTAGGTTTGCTAGCTCTTAGAGTAGTCTGGTAATATTTGTAGGCAAATTATTTCAAAATAGCGTCGGCGTCTACACTGGCTCAAATTTAAGTGGTACACAGTGACTCTAACATATAGTACTGATTCATCTCTCTATTTTTAGAAACATTGACAGACAATTGTAAAATATTTCTTGTAATGATATGAAAAGAATACTTTGACAAATATAATTGATTAAAATGCATAGTTTCAATAAATATTATACTTGCACGATAGGGTTGCCAAGTTCATATAAACTGTTAGAGTCACTGTGTACCACAGGGTTTGAGTCAGTGTAGACAGGTAGTAGTACACAGTGACTCACAATTTTTTTTCTAGAAAAAAATGTCTGGTGACCTTAGTGTTGTGTTATTGCAAAAATTTATTATGTGAAACGAAAGAGTAATAATCAATGCATCCTAGATATGAATTTCAGTTTGATACTTCAAAGATTTCTATTAAATTTTATTGATTGAAGAAATCCGAGTCACTGTAGCCTACCTGACCCTACTGTTCTGACCCTTTATACCTTACGCCACAAAACCCTTTTTCTAGGATTGGGGTTCCCAAGAGCGCGCTATGGTGGGGTCCAGTGAAAGCACAGACACTGCGACCTTCAGCTCATCCAGCCCGCCCGAAAGCGTTCCTGACACTGGCATTGTCAGTCATCCACGTAAGTATATCGTCATCTTCCTGCCCTTATCTCAAATTTAATCCCAAATCAGTTGGGGCCGGCGCAACATGTTAAGCCAAATCCCAGATACTTTGTATATTCCCAATGTGGACGCTTTTATACAATGTTTCTTTGGGAACTTTGTTCTGGAACATTGTTTAAAATACGTCCACTTTGATGGGAACATCGTCCAGATACATTGTATATTATACAAAGTATCTGGACAATGTATATTATACAAAGTATCTGGACAATGACTGGCTTTTAGAGCACAATATCATGTAGCAAAAAGATTTGGGAATGTTTTATGACCGGCCGCCTGCCTGACATCTACCCTCTTTGGGAATGCTATCCGCCAACGTGCGGTTGACCATAGTCGACAGATATTTAACCGAGGTCAAAAACTCTACGTCGCCTTTTATGAAACACCTTGAGTGACAGTATTCTTAGCCGCTACCACACGTAAGTAAATCATCATTATCACAGCAGGCCACTGCTGGACATGGGCATTTGCATTTTGATTGGGGGGGTGTTTGGTTTGCCATGCTCCCCACGCTTGGCAAGCGGATTGGCGGATTACATTCGAAGGTTTTTTATGTTTCATATTACCATCCTACACTGTTCTAAAAAATCTGATGTTATATGTATTTGTGTGTGTTATTTATATAGAGTGAAATTTTACTAATAAATATTTCGACCTATGTTCCTTGGGGAAAATTGTTCCTTATTATCAGCTGGTTCTGAGTTTTTGCTATCGGTGACTAGTAAAATTTCACTCTATATTATTATAATTTGTGGAAGTCGTACATCCAGTCATTGGCTACACTATGCCCTTCGTATTTTATTGTCTGTGTACGATTCATAGCTATTTTATATCCACATTTCACCATACCCACTTGTAAACGTCCACCCACCGTCATTCCAGGATCACAAGTCGCGTCCACCCCGCTCATACAAAAAAAAGACGGCCGACAACCCGACCTACTCAACCTACACCACACCGTATCACCCATATACGGCCTTAGCCCTATAGACGATAAATCGTATACCGTCACCAAGGTGCCAAGTTCTGATGGTTTGAACACGACTATCAATACGGGCACCATAGTGAAGCGACCAGCTAAGAGAGACATCTTGACGGGCAAGACCAGTCCGGATAAGAAAATGGTGCCGCAGCAAGTCAAATCGCCCACGAAACTGCCTAGTACAGGTATGTTGAATGTATGCTTTTATTCTCCTTCATTTTGTTAGTATTTCGTAAGGTGTGTTGCCGCATGAATAGCATCACCCCATTTCTTTCATGTGGATGTCGTAAGAAGCGACTAAGGGACTCGAGGGTTACATGAGGCGTCTAATTTCAAAACCCGCTAAAACGAGTTCTCATAAAATGTTGGTATTAAATAAAAAACAAAAAACCCGACTGCGGTAATTTTAAAGTAGTATTTTTCTCTAAAAATCCGCCAGCTTGAATCTATATTTTCTTAATATAGCCAGTGTCAATCGCGCTGCTGAGACGAACCTAACGACATCTCATATGTCAAAATCTAACTATCCGTCTGGGCTGCAGCCCGTGAAAAAGAATTTTCTTGTCCACATACATACATACATACTTACATACATACATACATACTCTCGAAAAACATAACCCTCCTTCTGAGGCAGTCGGGTAAAAAAAACCGTTAGACAGCGTATTTTCTGCTTTTAGGTGTGAAAATGTAGCTAAATGTATAATTCTCATCTAATGATATTTAGTAAATGCTTTAAATTCCTTTAAATCTACTGATTTTTGGAGAAATAACAAAAAATATTTTTATTTTGGCGGCTTTTGCTGTGAACTTTTTGTTTTAGCGGGTTTTGCAAAACACATGTTGTATTTTAGCGGCTTTTGATAAGAACGCTAAGATTTGATAAGATGCCGCTCCCGTATCGGCTTATACAGCCATGAAAAATCTTGCGTCAGACACTGAATAAATCGTCTGTCACAGACGTATGAGGCCAATGATGATGATAAGAACATATTATTAACATATTTCAAGAAGTGGATGGTACTCAACAATAAAACTTAATGTTGTGTTTGTAATTTATTCCGTTTTTGTGAACCGTTAATTTAAACACAACAATATTTATTAGTAAGAAAAAAGAGGCTTCTTTTATGAGGATATGTTTTTAATTTTTATTATATTTTCACTGGGATAAAAATAATCCAGTTTTCTTGGCGTAGCCCTGGCACCTTAAATGCTTTAACCGACTGTACATGAACAAAATAATTATTACACACCTTTTTTTGGTTAGGCAGCCATGTAACAAACAAAACTTAGATCATGTGGCATAACACCATCATAAACTGTTTATCAAGTAATTTGTACCGAAATTTCTCTCACCGTTTTTCACGCTCCTTCGTGCACTTCCAGAAAGCTTCATTGCCGGGTCTTTTCCTCACTTCTTTGGGACTGTACTTATTCACAAATTGGAAGAAATCATCCATAATTTTGTATTAAAAAACAGTAAATACTGCTCCAACTTATTAGCAGTTTTGAACAAATTGCCATACTTTTTTGAAAGTCACGTGATCTGAATACTGCGCTGTCATTGGTCGAATTCATTTTAGTGGATTTTGAAACGTAAAGGGAGCATTTTAGCGGATATTGCAACGCAAGTCCGACTTTGGAAGGGAGTTGTGTAGTAATGTACCGGGTTTGCTCAAGAATGATGGTAAGACTTGAAAGCCTGTAACAGCAGCATCATTTTGAGATCAAATACGAAGAAAGAAGAAGAAGAAAGAAAGAAGCGGGTTTTGAAATTAGACGCCTCACATGTGTAATTTTAGACGACAGGCTGATAACTTGTCACTATAGCAATACACGATAATAGCTAGTGGCCCTCAAAAATTTGTCACACTTGGCGATAACGACCGTATTTTTACGCAAGGGATAAAGGCATAATATATGTATGTTTGTATGTATGTATACGAAACTTTCCCTACGTGCACACCTGCTACATTGTTATGTTGCATGCAATGCCGAAACAAAATATGGGGTGATATCGAATAACAAACTTCCCGAAAATGCCAAGTTCAACAGATCAAACTGAATAACTTTCCCCAGGAAACGAAAATAGATCTAAATATTTAAAAAATTACCTCCTGTAGAAGAGTATTTAAACAGCTGTTTTTTTGTATGGATTCCAAGTTTCTTTTTTACTTTATATACAACCTTCTTAATGATTTCCCTACCTACCTATGCCCTTCCATACCTCACTCAAACCTATCATAATACAAACAATAAATAATACAAGCACTAAATACCACCGGCGACATTTTACTATTGGCATGGGGCCAGTGTCCGATATGTCAAACCTAACCTAAATGCCGGCTTATATTTGCGCTATCACCACTGCCATACTAAACTTACAGTCTGTGGTTACTAATTAAACGGGTAGACTTTCTTTACGTGTGGGACACCGAGTAGTTCAACGACCCGATGATCTCTGGTGTCAGAGTTTGTCATTCGCATACTACAAGTGGCAGGCCTCTGAAAAATTTGTTTTACGTGTAGATACTGTCCGTGTCATTATAAAATAAATAGTCGTGGTCTACGCCGTTTGACAACGTTAATTCGTATAGAAAAATAGTTCAAACACTGTCTACATAGTGTTTGTTTTATAAGTTTTTGAGAATGGAAGATATTTGTATTGAAATGGAGTGTTGGTATTCCTCTATTATTATGGTTTTGTTTTTAATCAGTCTGGTGAATAGTTACAGTATTTTCAGTTATTATAACAATAAAGTGCCGGCCGGTTAGTGGACATGTAGTTTTATATTTTAAACACAGCTATCGTTTTTCAATATAAATTTTAAACAATGCTTTAAAAGTTATATTTCCCTGCTTATTCACTAAACGGGTGGATAATAAAACATAAACCAAACCTCCAAAAGTTTCTGCCTCCAAATACTTTATTTGTCTGTGTATTGAGTCCAGTATATCTAATATACTGGAGACAAATAACTGCATTTCTATTGATATTTTTCGAAATTTCATTAATGTTCTTATTGGATTCTACATACAAACATCCTCATAAATGAAAATAAGAAATTGTTATGACATGTATGGACCAGGGCTCGAACTGGGGCCGCATGGATCATCGCCCCACCACTCTGCCACTGAGCTATCCATGCACCTATCGATGCTTGCCAAATTTCAATCTCTTAATGCTCGTCTCCAAGCATCGATCTATCGATATCTAGTAGAAAGTATTTACAACTTTATTATTGTTTTACAAACTTCCTCACAAAAATATTCTACGTTCCAGCTTCGTACGTGATGGCCCCGCCTACTGCGTTACCTAAGAAGACCGGATTACCGACGTCCAAAATAAGGCAGTACAGCTCACACCGGGACCTTAGAATACCTACTGCCCCTAGTAATAGCAATAACGGTAAGAATAATACCATTTTTTCAATGTACCCATCAGTCAACATGTCGTTACAGTATAGATGTAATATAGATTTTCGCTTTGATTTCGTATAGAATTCATAAAAATATAAAACTTCACACCGTGTTTGACCCGCGATCGACGAAGAACTGCGGCTGGTACACTGATCAAAATAAACTATTTTGCACTTAACAAAATCGGTGAAATGAGGAGAAAAACTAGTTTGTAAAGGGCGCCTACTCGCCTCTGCTTTTTTCTGAATGGGTAGAAAATGTGTCAATATTGAAGTAAACTTTCAATAGAAAGCTCTTTTTTTCTTACTGCTGCAATCTGCAATGAGTTTTGCGTTTTCCTCGCCATTGTCACCTTCTTTGTTGGACTTAGCATCATCTACAAAAAATCTTTTAAGAAAGAAATCTACTAGAATATGATGAAACTTCGTTCAAACGTTACCTGTTATTTTAAGTTATACCTCTGAATATTTCCTGCAGGTCCAAGCAACTTCGGCTACGGCATCCGGCCCCCCAACCGGACCATGGTGCGTCGCAACGTGTACGCATCGAACCCGGTACTCAGTCCGACGAGCTCGATCACTCCCAGCATGCCGCCGCTGCATCGCACCGACTCATACACCATCGCGAGAGACGCGCAGGTAATTATATGATTGGTGATGATTTTAATAAGGCGTTTGACCGGGTTGATCACAACTAAAATGTAAATGGTACGCATCGAACCCGGTACTCAGCCCGACGAGCTCGATCACTCCCAGCATGCCGCCGCTGCACCGCACCGACTCATACACCATCGCGAGAGACGCACAGGTAGTTATATAATTGATGATTGTAATAAGGCGTTTGACAAGGTTGATTGATGGTGCGTCGCAACGTGTACGCATCGAACCCGGTACTCAGCCCGACGAGCTCGATCACTCCCAGCATGCCGCCGCTGCACCGCACCGACTCATACACCATCGCGAGAGACGCACAGGTAGTGTTTTACTTATGCAGATTTTAGTAAAGCGTTGGACCATGTTGATCACAACTAAAATTGAAATCATGGTGTACGCATCGAACCCGGTACTCAGTCCGACGAGCTCGATCACTCCCAGCATGCCGCCGCTGCACCGCACCGACTCATACACCATCGCGAGGGACGCACAGGTAATTATATATTTGACGATTTTAATAAGGCGTTTGACTAGGGTGATCAGATCACAACTAAAACTGAAATGGTACGAACTGTGCATCGAACCCGGTCCTCAGCCCGACGAGCTCGATCACTCCCAGCATGCCGCCGCTGCACCGCACCGACTCATACACCATCGCGAGAGACGCAGTTAGTACTTTATAGTAGTTTATACTTTTGCAGGTTTTAGTAAGGCGTCTGATACGGTGGATCACACCAATCTTTGTAATACAACTTGTTTTGTTTTGCATTACCGAGTAGTTTTTTTACTATGGGTGTTCTTTCTAAATTAGTTGCTGCATTGAATATGGGCTTTTGAAGTTTGTTTCATCAATCATCATCAATAACTAGGTACTTTATTAGGAGTGCCCCAAGGATCACATTTAGCGCCGCAGTTATTTATAATCTTAATTATATGAAAATTAAATTGTTTGTTTCCAATCTCGGATAGAATAAAACTGTTTTCTCTAAATGCTACACAATATAAAAAGTAAGTAATATCGATCCATACCTAACATTACAGGAAGAAAACGAAGCATCGAAGCCCGTGTTAACGAACCCTCCCGCGTTGGTCCGGCAAGGCACGGAAACACTTAGGAGAGAACGACCACAGAGTCAAATGGTGCAGCCGAAAGACGTAAGTATTGTCGTGTCTGATGCTAACATAAGCAGTAATTCAAAAACTTGGAAGCTACAATAAAATGACGACAATTCCTACTATTTTGGGTCGGTATTTCAAGTTCTTCCTGCATAAAAATAATAATTTAAATCCTGCCAAGTAATGTGTTAACAATAATGTTTAATCAATAATAAATCTCATTTAAAAAGCTGTTTACTACGTGGGTATTTAATGATTTATAGGTGTAATTATTTTAATAACTATGTGTTTTGTTTCCTTTTTGTTGTGTTGGTGGCTCACTTTAATGTTAAATCAGTCTAACAATTAGCAAAATATTTCAATGACTTCTATCAAATCACTATGAAATCTTTTAACTTTTGCGAATTGTAAGATTGTCTATCAATTCCTAATAATTCGGATACAGTTTCTAAAATCAATATTCAAACGGGCACTTCTTTGGCATTTATTCAAACTTGAGATTCTAGGTATCTATGTGAACATAATAATATTTACTATTGAGCCATGTAAATGTATGGAGCGGCAATTTTTTTCCTGATTTCGCAGATGGCCCTATAGTAAAAGATGTTCATGTAGGTGGCCTAGAATCACCAGTTTAATAAATGCCCGCTAGCCAGTAACACAATGTATACAGGGTGTTAGGGATGGTGTAACAAAAACTTTGCAGGCATGATCAGACCATCAAACTGAACTACTTTTACTATGGAGCCAATGGTGGGAAACGAAAAAAAAATTCCGACTTCCCATACAAAATTCACGATCAGCTGACTGACTTTGTATGGGAGGTCGGAATTTTTTTTTCGTTTCCCACCATTGGCTCCATAGTAAAAGTTGTTCAGTTTCATGGTCTGAGCACGCCTGCAAAGTTTTCGTTACACCGTCCCTAACACCCCGTATTGGTATCTAAATAAGATAGTATCCGAATTATTTACCCTGTGTGTAACCATTGTGATTTACAAACAAACTATCCACCTAATTGTAAAGTGTCACACATAACATAACTGATACCCTGTGACGTAACAGCTCCGCGCACCGCCCCCTACCGGCGTGCCAGTGTCTTTGCGAAACCATCTCAAACCCGTGAGTCATAGTCACATGCCATTGCATCAACTACATGACATCTACCTCTATCATTCTTTTCATGCGTAGTTGCAATTATGTCATCTTCTCTTTCATTTTTGTCATGTGTAGTTGCATTTAAATCATCTTCTATTTCATTAATGTCATGTGTAGTTTCACCCATATCATCTACCTCTTTAATTTTTCTCACGTGTAGTTGCATTCATATCATATACCTCTGTCATTCTTGTCATGTGTAGTTGCATCCATATCATCTACCTCTTTCATTTGTAGTTTATTTTTACTCTCTTTCATCATCTTTATTACATAAACTTAAAAAAATTGGTACTGGAATATTTCATGGGGTATGGTCCATACAACAGAAAAACTTTCTCCAAGGAGTCAAGTTATTTTTATTAAGAACTATGTTCGTTGGGTAAAGTTGTTTAGTTACATGGGTCGCGGTGGTTCACCGTTTGAAATATTTCATGCGAATCTTTCACATGCTTTAAACATAACATCATCTTCCTCTATCATTCTTATCATCTGTAGTTTCGTCGTTTCTTGCGAATAGACTACTAGTCAATTTCCTCTTTAATTTTTATCATAAATATAGTTTCATGTTTGCCATTTCTTCTACACTCTCCTCATCTTTTTCCTCTTCCTTCTTCGCACGTATACCTACTTTCTTTTCCTCATTTCATTGTCATATGTCTGCCTGGTTGTGTATGTTTCCTGCTTATTGTAGATGACAGGCGCTCACTCCGTTCTAGTGCTCTAAAATTGTGGTGATCGGGTTATAATATAATAATATAGGGACTTTCCACAAAAAAGTTAGACCAGCATTGAACGCGTGTTTAGCATTTTTTTCGTATGAAGTTTTATTTTAAACACACGTTCAACACTTGTCTAACTTTTTTGTGGTAAAGCCCATAACATTTAATACCTAATCGACTAAAGTACTAACGACTGTATTTGCAGACGACGACGAGGCCTTACTCGATAGCGGGGGCGTCGAATCTCCGAGTCACCCGGCCGTCTTCCGGCCCACAGAAACCTACTTCAGGTAAGACTAAGCTTTAGGACCGCCTCTTCTTAGCTTGTCGATGGCATTACTTATATGATCCCGGCCCAGAACTTAGCGACGTTGACAGCGCTCGTAGTCGCTGTCATAAGATCATCCTGCGTGCAGGTGTTAGGGTTGGGCACACAGGGCACGACGATAGGTGGCACCACACGAACAGTTCCCATTCGAACCCTGCATTCACTTGATCATGTTTTCCTTGCACCGGCCGGTCTGAGTCCGAAGTCTATTTAAAGACTTCCAGACTTAAGGACCGCTCATAAATATATAGGAGTAGTTTTCTTTTCGAGTGCGACTCCGAGTCTTGCAACGACCCGTTGAACCATATACGATGGCATAGACGTAATGATTTAGGGGCTTTACACACGTAACTCCGTTACGACGTTATTTTTTCGCTGCGTAACGCATGCGTTGGGTGGGACAATACGAATGTCGACCTTATTCTGATAAAAAATATGGTTTAAGTCAAATTGTTTGACAAATGATGTGCCGTCAACGCAGAATTGTGCGATATTTTTGCGCTGCACTGACGGATGCGTCTGTCAAACCGTTTCACATAAACTGTATTTGTATGAAAATACGGTGGAAAGTCCTAACCCGTAACCGACCGTATTATCTTTGATAAATTTAAGCGACATAGCTTCATGCTCACAATGATCGCACTTTCTTCCAAAGGGGGTGGGACTTTCGTTTTCTTAGCACCTTTCTTCTAGATGTTTGACAGTGTATGTGTTGTTACAGTCCCGCCCGCACTCGAACCACGACCGCAATCCACAAC